CATGCATTTTCCCCTCTTATATCTGAAGTACATAGATGACATGCTCTTAACTTGGGATGGCATGCATAATATGTTTGTACAATTTATAGAATTTCTATCTTCTGTCTTCCCATCTATTATTAGAACAAGAGGATGATGATCAGTGCAGCATCTCTTTTCTAGATTTAGCCATACTCAGGGCGCACTTGTTACTTTCATTTGACATTTATCAGAACTTTAACATGAATCTTTTTAGTCCTGCTCATCTTTTCAGTCAAGCATGTACAAAAATGTTTCAAATTTCCACTTTAACTGTAGGGTATGTTTTTATCCCTCTTTCCAATACCAAATAATGATAGATTTACAATGCATTGGTTTTGAATGTTTTATGCAAAATTTAAGTATCTCAATCATAACGTCCTTTGAACTCAATCCTGTTTTCACTATGATAGTTAAGAAAAAGTGCAAGTTTATGGGAAGTCCCATCCCTTATTTGGGTTATATTTCTTTAACATGTGGCATCCCTTTTTAGTGTATTTAAGTACACCACCCCTATTAGACCTCAACCAAATTTTCATAAATTATTCTACAATGATAGGAATTCTTACTGTTCACTAGAAAAGTCTGGGTTCTATGTGATTCCACTCAGTTCTGTGAATAGTTGCATCTATTACATCACATTGAGGATGTTAACTTGTCAACTCAAAGATAATCAGAAAGAGGTAAAGCAAACTAAACATACAACTGAGTTTATTTAGGGTAATGTTATCGGCATTTGAGCTTATATGAGCAGAAATGCACCTCCTCTATCAATACTCCAACAAGAAATTGCTCTGTATATAAGAAGCTTTATGTATTGCCAACAATGAGCCATGTAACCACAACATTAGAATTCCTGGGACATTGGATTTCCCCTTATAAGCTATTTAGTTGAGGTGCCTTTGTCATATTAGAGAGGTTGAGGCGCACGTTTTAAACGTGTAAACGTGTACGTGTGATGTTCGGCGCCGCTTTCCCTTAAGCCTAAAAGTTTGACGATAGTGTTTGGAATGTCGAGCGTAATTCCACTGACTATCCAAACACCATTGTCAAACTTTTAGGCTTACGGGAAAGCGGCGCCGAACGTCACACGTACACGTTTACACGTTTAAAACGTGCGCCTCAACCTCTCTATTATGCTGATTGGTATTTGAGTTAGGTATTGACTTCTTTGGCTCAGCTATAGTCCTCTTTCCTTAGTGCTTTGTTTATGCATATTCTTGTTTCAATTTCAGTTTCTTCTGTCCAGATNGTAGATGGTCAAGTTGCCATTTTATGATAATTTCAATAATTATAATAAAATTATTATTAACTAGAAATTTTCCCTGCTTAGCATGACAGACTACTTTCTCATAGAAAGATTGAGGAATTGAAAAAGAGTACAAATTTCAAGAAATTCAAGAATAGCTAATCTTTCTACAAATTAAATAGTCTATACTGCCTGTTGAAGCATAGTTAATGCATAATACATTTTAAATAATAGGCTCATTATATTACTTATATTACTGATTATCTGATTGGATAATAAATGTAATGTGGTCTTAAAAAGTTTTTCTCTTTAAATGTTGTAAAAATGACATGATGTGGCTATCTTTTTTAAAAGTTTAAATTTAATGAAGTAAGTTTAAAATATGCCATTTGCCAAAATATTTTAAAATGTAACTTAAGAGAAATGCCGTCATCAAGCATGAACTAAATGGCGTCACTGCAACATAAGTGAGATCATCGATCCAAAATTGATAAAATGTTTACTCTATAGATAATAATTCTGCAAATTAAGTAGCCTATACTTTCTGTCTGAATATAACCAAAATTTCATCCGGATTGGACAAAAATTGCAGGAGTTATAAGAAATTTCAAGCACACACAGATGACAGCTTTATATTTATATTTAAATTTATATTATTAAATAAATTTTCTTCCAGAAACTCTAAATTAAAATTACTCTATTATAATTATTAAAATTATCATGAGATGGCAGCTTAACCACCTACCTCCAGATAACTTACTTTGTTTATAATTATTAACTTAGCCTAATCATAACCCAATAATTTGGCTGATTATCTGGCTTTAATTGCAGTTATTTAGTTGTATATATAGTAAATTTAATGAAAACTTCAATAAAATTGATATATTTTTAAAATAAAATCAATGAAATTAAAAACACCTATTATTATAATTTTTAATAAGATTTAAGTAAATAATAGATATTTACTTTAATGGATTTAATGTTAAGTCTGGTTTATCAAAACTAAATATTTTTTTGAAGCAGTATGAAGTTTCAATATTTAAACACCAGATTCAAATAATTATCTTCACATGCTGGCATAATATGATAATATGCCAATTTAAGTAAATATAAATGCATGTTGCTAAATTAATTTTAAAGGATTGTTTTGAATTTATGATGCTTAATTAATGCTGTTAGATGGGTAGTATTTTCACCAAGTTAATTTAGAAGTTTTAGAGAAACATTTGCTTCAGTGTAATAGGATATATTCACAAAACAGTGTGTAGTGATGCACAACAATGCAGGAATGTTTTACTTATTTGTAAAAGATTTATATATAGGAAAAATTTGAAATATTTTAAAGGTATTGAATTTATCATCATTCAATTATGTGAAATCATTCATGTGACAGTATTAAAGCCAATTGATGGCCAGATTATATGAGGCTATATTACTGCTACTATTAATTAATAATTAAATGCTAAATTGTGGGAGTTGTGGGTTTGAGTCCTACTTTGGGCCAATTCTTTTCTTCTAGAATCTTTTAAATTCATTATTAAAATGTTAATTTAATTGTAATTATTAAATTTAGCAAGATATGGCACCTAACATCTATCTCTAGTGCCAAATTATTTAGCATTTACTTATTAGTTTATTATAAAAAATTATATGTTGATATGCATTACATATACACTTGTGTGTACTGTTCAATATTTTGTATGACATTAATAAATTAATCAATATAATTGTCATCAAATGTATGATAGATTTAATAAAGCACTTAAGATTACTAATGCAAACATGAGTGAAATTCTATGAAAGTTTTCAACAAATAAACATCCATTAACCTAATTTTTGGTGTTAAAGTTACCAACAGTGATTCAATAAATTAAATATATATTTTTTTTTTTGTATGTAATAATTTTTAAAAATAGTAAATTTAAAGCCAGAGGATTTGCTAAATTAATGGGCTATGATTAACCGAAGTTAATAATAATATACAAAGTAATATGTCTAGAGGTAGATGGTCAAGTTGCCATTTTATGATAATTTCAATAATTATAATAAAATTATTATTAACTAGAAATTTTCCCTGCTTAGCATGACAGACTACTTTCTCATAGAAAGATTGAGGAATTGAAAAAGAGTACAAATTTCAAGAAATTCAAGAATAGCTAATCTTTCTACAAATTAAATAGTCTATACTGCCTGTTGAAGCATAGTTAATGCATAATACATTTTAAATAATAGGCTCATTATATTACTTATATTACTGATTATCTGATTGGATAATAAATGTAATGTGGTCTTAAAAAGTTTTTCTCTTTAAATGTTGTAAAAATGACATGATGTGGCTATCTTTTTTAAAAGTTTAAATTTAATGAAGTAAGTTTAAAATATGCCATTTGCCAAAATATTTTAAAATGTAACTTAAGAGAAATGCCGTCATCAAGCATGAACTAAATGGCGTCACTGCAACATAAGTGAGATCATCGATCCAAAATTGATAAAATGTTTACTCTATAGATAATAATTCTGCAAATTAAGTAGCCTATACTTTCTGTCTGAATATAACCAAAATTTCATCCGGATTGGACAAAAATTGCAGGAGTTATAAGAAATTTCAAGCACACACAGATGACAGCTTTATATNGTAAATCAATATATTAATTCCCATTTTATTTTTCTAGAATTGTAATAAAATAAAAATATGATAAACCTTAATGAGAAACATTAATTAAAGTTATTTATTCTTATATTTTTTCATATACTGTACATACATAATCATCATTGTATATTCATTAGCATATTACAGTATTTTATAAGTTGTTTTCCATGTAATTGAAGACTGTCTCATCTCTAAAATCACACTGTGTCAATGGCTGCACACCTTAGAGTTATGAAGGAGTACATGTCAGGAGTTGCAATTTGGCACAGAATATTTGGTGCCAAAATCATGCACACATAAAAAAAATCAGACTTGTAGGTATTCAGGGGACCAAGAACTCTGGGTCAAAATAAAATACAAAATGATGAGACTGTTTCTACAAACAGGCATGAGTGCGAGATTTGCGCATGCGTTGCTCGCGCTCTCCAAGACAGTCTCATCCCAAGAATGGCTTCGCTATTTTTCTTGTTAATTTGTTTTACAGATCTTTGGTCTTATACTGAAATCCTTCAATATCAACCAATCAACTAATCCAAAAATTTAGTTCAAACAAATATTATATAAAGGATTTGAAAAATAGAATGGTATATAAAAGAAAGTACNCAATTATGTGAAATCATTCATGTGACAGTATTAAAGCCAATTGATGGCCAGATTATATGAGGCTATATTACTGCTACTATTAATTAATAATTAAATGCTAAATTGTGGGAGTTGTGGGTTTGAGTCCTACTTTGGGCCAATTCTTTTCTTCTAGAATCTTTTAAATTCATTATTAAAATGTTAATTTAATTGTAATTATTAAATTTAGCAAGATATGGCACCTAACATCTATCTCTAGTGCCAAATTATTTAGCATTTACTTATTAATACTGGTAATAACAATAATATAGTCTGATTTAATCCTACAATTATTTGGCTTTAATATCTATCTATCTGGTTTTAGATGTTGATATTTGCAGATATCTTCAGTATTATTAAATTATATTGATTTTGTTATACTTACAAAACAAATATGAATTAAAATTAATTATAAAAATGTTTATTGTTATACATCAGAATAAATATTTTTTTTTTTTTTAGAACGATGTTCTGGTGCTCCCATTGGCAATGCTTCCCATAATCGCTGCCACTTACAAATGAATGGTACACAAGAACCAGGTATGCTGTCTTAAAATATGATATTTCAATTTATCAATCAAACTGAATTTCTGGTAATTATTGTAATTTTCTTCTAGCATAATAATTTGTTTTAAATGACATTATGATAATTCCCAATGAAATGAGAATTCTCTTTGATGCCAATTGAAGATATTTTGTGATTGGAGATAGAGTAATTTACATTGAAAATTTAATATTTTATTGTTAATTTTTTTTGTCTAATCACAGACATGTCATTATTTAGAAAATGCTGGTAGAAGTTTATATTAAAAAATGTTCGTAATAAAATATCAAACCTTAAACTAGTTCATCTTAAATACAAATTGAGTTTATTTCCAGAAAATTTTAGCCATTAGATTATTTTTTCACTTCTACTGTAATAATTTGTTATAAAAAATTACTTTGTATACTATTTGTAATAAAAAATTACTTTAATTTTTTATGAAAATTTATTAAAACAAAATTTTCAAATTTTTTATATCCTTCAAAAATATTTTTACATATTTCATGCTATTTAGAAGTCAAATATGAAAGGAATATATATATATATGTTTTAATCATATATATGTACACCTCAACTTCATTATTACATGGTGCTCAGGATTCAGAGAATCATTACATTGTTGATATAAGCAGATTGTGTTAGAGAATTCTAGCCACTATTTTGCATTAAACATATCTGCTGACAATTCACATAAATCTTGTTTTTGTGAAGGATAATGCATATACATATAATAATATTGTGTGTTCACATGGAATACAGAGTGCACATTCAATAATCTAAAAGAATTAAGTATATAAAACATTGCAAAGCCCGATATATAGGCATTTGTTTGGTTAATGTATATAGAAACATAACTAAACACTTGCCTTAAATAATCAGGCTATAACTCAACTAATTTAATGATTAATACTAAGTAATTTGCTACTAGAGGTAGACATTAGGTACCATCTCTTAACTAAATTAATAATTATAATTTTAATAATTTATTAAATATCGTATATCTGCGCAGATAAGACGAGGTATAAATTTTTGTTGAAGTTTTATAGTTTTAACATATATCTGTCCTATAAGACTACTCCCAAACTATCAACAGCCTATGAATTTAGTTTAGATCAGTGATCATCATCTGGATAATAACACTGTATAGCATATACAAAATTATGTCCTATTCGTAATTTTTTGAAAGAACTTCAAATTTTATTTTCTTGCATCTGGCAGCACTGCCTTTCGATTGTTGCAAACATTCACACTGATTCGGGCATTCGGGTAATGACCTTAACTATTCACAAAAATTGTATGGACTATTCTATTTTGTGGACATACCCTACTCTCTACTAGTAAATAATTACAGTTTTTCCATTTTTTATAATGATTTTAATTTATATAAATTTCAATCTAATTTTTGTTTGTATCTGTCCTATAAGATGACTCTGGATTTTGGGGTTCTTTTTTATGATTCAACTATTGTCTTATCTGTGCAGATATACAGTAATTTTCAGTAAAGGCATAAGCAGTTTAATTCGAAGATTTTATGGAAATAAAATGAAAATGGGTATCATGTATATCATGTACAGTAGAACCTCGATTATCCGGACTAATTGGGGATGAAGGTAGTCCGGATAAGGAAAAATCCGGATAATCGAAACAAATACTTTAATTTGTCTTTTAATAATAATACAACACGTTTTCTTTTCGATGACATATCGGTAATATTAAAAGTAAATACTGTATTTAAATCGTGATCAAATTTTCAAGAAACAAACGTTCGTATTGAATTTGGACTACTACTGACCAACGCTAACAGACTACCTATTGTTTAAAAGGCCCTCTGGTGGCGCAAGAAGACGGATTTTATAAAATAAAAAGCAGTTGAAACTGCATTTTTATGAATAAAAATTTGACAAACTATTTATCGTTTTATGACGAGTAAAATTTTTTCGTCGCGTTCGCGGCTTTTAAGTAATGCATAAACCTTCGAGGCGCGAGGCCCTTCGGACCGCGAGGCATAGGCGGTGGCCCACGTCGTCCATGCCTTACGCCGCCCTTGGTCATAGAAATGATGTAATTTGAATATAAATTATTTATAAATACGTATGTCAAGTTATATTTTTATTACGACAGAAAATATATTTAAGAGTTTACGACCACTGTGCCGGGTGAAACGTTGTTGAAACAAAAAATGTTATGCATTCCATCACGTACATAAAGAGTGTCGTAATTCGCCAAGTACAAATCAGCAAATTCGTAAAATTTTTGTTTATTTTGAACAATCCGGATAATCGAAAATCCGGATAATGGAGGTCCGGATAATGGAGGTTCTACTGTATTTGCAATAAGATGATAATATCAACATGCATTCAGAAAAGATTCACTTTATGTTTATTAATTAAAAAACATAAAAATTGGGGAGGCATTTATAAGCACATTCAATTGTAAAATCAGATTTATATTGTAATGAAGTTCAGCTGTATACAAATATGTTTATGCTTGCATGTGCACACACATTATTAACCCTTCGGTGGGCGCCCCAGCGGCAAATTGCCACAAAATAATAATAAATTCGTTTGTTTGACGTTGTACTTAATTATTGTGGAAATACGTCATAGTATTCTCTCTTCATATTACAAGTTACAATTTATCTTTGAAATCGGGTCAGTTATGCTAACCGTTTAGCTGTTACTGGACTTTGAATCAAGTCGTACCTAATTTGCGTTGTAACTGCCGCTACGCGCCCTGTCATGTAACTAAAATATCAGTATACGTTTATATATATGTGTTTAATTTTTTTAATAAAGTAAGTCAATATTTGCAAGTTTATTAAATAAATATATTAAATTAACACTATTGTAAGTTTCTATAAATTTTTAAATTTATATTAGTTTATATTTTTCAAAAATATAAGGGAAACAAAGAGCAATCCAAAGTAGCGGCAAAAACCTAGAATTTGTTTTATTTGTGGCATACTCAAAAACAATAGGAAAAAATCAATTTGTCAGAAATGAGTAGAAATATTTGCAAGAAGAATCGGAATATGGTGATTATATGTGCCATGTGTGAA